TTTCCACAAAAGCAATTGTATATATTTATCAACAGAGATTTTATCAATAACGTTATTTTTACACGAAATACTCTCTATACATAATTATATAATAATACATAGCCGATTGTGTAAACATCGTTAGAACTTTATCACACGAAATATACCTAATAGGTGGTTGTGATACACACGGTGTATCAATTATAGCCACGATACCATTCAGTTTGCATTTTATAAAATAATACGTCTATACAATAAACTGTGTTGATATTAAAATGTTTTCTGTTGCGTCTATACAAACAACAAGCTCTTACACATGTGGTCATCACAAAAATAAAGCAATTTAGAATAGTAATAAAGAATGACATTTGTCTGCCAATGATTTCGCGAATTTTATTCAAATCCATAGTATACATGTTGTGCGTAGAACTGAGATCTGTGCAATCTTAAGATGGCGCGGTGAAATCTTCAAACAGCGCCTCATCATCTTGGAATTGTGCAGCGACACCTTGAGATTGCGCAAAACGCAAGACTGCTGGTAACATATATATCTACTTCACACGCACTTCATTTCACACTACAGTTGTAATCGTTATCCGTCACGGTTATGAAACGCCATCTGTACGCATGCGTTCACGATCGAGTCCCAAAAAGTGTGGAGTGTCAATGATGCGCTGCGAGCCACATGCGTATAACTTTGATCGAGTCGATAGACCCGGCCTGTGAGTCCGATATCCAATAATTTATATCGATCCCGAGATGTGAAGCTACGCGAGTGACAAGTCGCCCTATTTCAACGGCTATGTTCACCAGAAGTGCATTACATGTTATGTTATTATTATATACGCGTCACACGAAACATTATATTATCCATAATTATAGTATATATAATGATATATATAGGTATATAGTTAGTAGTGTAGAGTAAATATGCGTATATATCATTAATGTACTCTCCTCACTGCGTACGACGCGGGTGCATGCTGCTGTTTTAATCAATGAATCGGCTATCATATTCAATTTAATCAGCAGATGATAGGGTAATCAACTATCAATGAAACATATTACGTCTGGGGCGTGCTCCCATGTAAGCGATCCGTTGCTCCGAGAGGTTCTGACACTAGATGTCGATTGAAAGAACAAACCGTAGGTGATTGTCTTTCTACAGGCACGGCGACCCAGTTTCTGACAGGAAATGCTTTGCCAGTGCGCAGCGTTCGGAGTGCCCGTCAGCAGGGAACAAAGTGTGGCGTGTCTCCTGGCAAAGATAGTCGCAATATTTGGCAGTTTCGTGATATGCCCGGACAGGAGATTGCCATGGGAGTTTATGAAGCGGGTTGATGGAGGGAAGCGAAATAAAAAACCGTACCGGGTGTAATCCGCATGGGCAACCAGCATTGCCGCACGGGTGCGTCCTGAGAGAATGTTTTTCAGGTAGTCAATGATGCAGTTGCGAGTCAGCGATGATCGTGTCTCCATGCTGCGGCAGGTAACCGGTCAATCATCGGGTTGATCTTCATGTACCGATGCGCTCGTACTGCTCAAGACGCAGTATGTCCATCGGACGACATTCTTCCTGACGGAGACAGTTTCTTCTCTCTAGCGCAAAACAGGACCTTGTGTGTGCCGAAGGTAAGCACAGTAACATAACTATAGTAACGTAAGCATGTAGGGTTTAATTGTTAGATTATAGGTTTATCAACTATTCTAGCTGTTCGCTGTTCGGATTTATCTCATTTAATTGTAGCTTTACATTTATCAAGTCAATTTTAAGCCAATATCGTTCAGCACCTTTCCCCTCGCGAATCGTGCCGTCGTAGCTCGCCTGCCATCTGATTTATAATTAGTTTGCCGCCTGGCTGCCGACCTATCAGACTACGTGCTTCTAATTCTTCAGGTCCGGCCAGGTCCAGTGTCCTATATCGTTTCACTGATCGCTTACCTTCCGCGAATTGGCTTTCCTGATTATCAAATAAGAAGCTAAGATAACGGGCTAATAAATAAGCTGTTAGACCAGTAACATTTACTCGGACAGATTCATAATACAGATAGTACAACATACTGGGTGCACCTAATCACTGGCAGCAAGAACAAGTCCGCACGCTGCAGCACAGCGACACACGCCATCTATTGACTATATATATACAACTTTTATATATATAGTATATATATATATATATATATATATTGTATATATTGTATATATTGTATATATAGTATGTTGTATATAAATAGTCAATAGATGCGTGTGTGGCTGTAGCTGCAGGTGCGGACTTGTTCTTGCCGGCCTAGTGCAAGTTAATTCGAGCCGGGTGCGTAAATTATAACCCGTACGTGCTATTTACCACCAGTACGTAACAATTAAAATTATGGACTATTCTTACACGATGCAAGCGCATAACGCCGTAAATAACGCAATAAACTGACGTTAATAGTTCCGGTAAGCGAGCATGTCGCAGTTGCAAATTGTTGGACTTGCGTGATATCCTCCCGATACTTTCCGTATATGCAGACATAATGCACGAGAGAGCTAACTCTAACCTAACGCCTAAACGCACGAACCCTAACAATAAACGCGACTCGGCCATATCTTATATACCTATCTTATGGATCCACAACACTATCTATGGTGTAATAATAGCCCTCGACATGTCACACTGAGAACATGTCGTAAAAAATAGTACCATAAATAATGTTAACACTGGAAGTACGAATAGCCACGCCCTAAATCATATGTAGTACGTACCTGCTGAGTGTAGAATGACAACGGATTCATATACAGCTTGAGCGGTAGACAGGCACTCTGGGTCACTCAATCTTTACTGGCAGGGGTCACAGCCACTGGTGAACTTAAATTTTCTCCTCCGGCGATTACGACGTCCGTTAATGATGATAAGACCAACGATAGAAACGGTAAACGTAACGACACTGCTACTTACTACACCCACCGAAGGGCATGTGCCTACTCCCTGTGCAGGAGACGGCTTGTAGGACACGTCACGAAAGGCTGCTCCACCACCTGCGATGAACGTGTGCGAACAGTGGCGATAAATCACACGAATGCACACTTCGGCACGCAAAAAAATGCAGACTACTTTATTTCGGTATGCTCGATAGCAGAGAAAAAACATAGAAAGACAAATAAGCATGCGCACGTACAAAAACACACAAGTACCAGGGGCGGATTCCAGAGGGTTCTGGGTGACCAGTATTCCAATAGTCTAGTCACAAGCTAGGAAGGGTCCGGGGTTTTCATTCCCAACCCCCCGGGGATTTTTAAAAAATAGGCTATATTTGGTGCATTCTGGTGAATTTGTGAGGGTCCAAATTCTGAAGATAACCCAGCCTGTGAACCGTTGATGGAAACCGGTGCAATCGGCTGCTAATCAGCGCGAACTGAAATACCACGTACATATAGAGTTAGCAATAATGATTACAACTAAAAGCTCCGTATACACTCTGCGCAGTAAACAAAGCAGGTTGTGTTTTACAGCAAAATATATATCATTGTTTACAATTAATAACTAATGTAATTGACAGGTACACTAGGTAAAGGAGACACAAGGACTTCAACATGAACATTCGCTCCCTAATTCCTACAATATATATATTCGTGCTGAATCCAAAAAAGACCCTTAAAATCTTGTGGATTGTTTAATAAAATAGGCTGGATACAACTAGATTCACAATAGTCCGTAGTGTTCGGCAAGGCCCAGATGCGGGATAGAGCGATCAGGCGGGAAAAAGCGAATCACAAAATACGTCGACATAACATACATTTATTGCAAAATGAAATATAGGAGCATCAGCAAACATCCGCGACGATAGATATCAATGAGAGCATATCTGGCGTGGACTTGGCCAGAGTGCGCATTATAGATACAAATGCAACAAATGCATGAATCAACATAGGACAGCAGGCAGATAGACTGATCTAACGTTAACAAAAGATATTGTACGTCTCCAAAGTTTTCACACGCATTCACACCATATCGGACGATACGAGGCATCCCGGTCCTTCTATTTACTGCGTACAGGGACCGCCCTATTTACGCGGAATGAATAGAAGTGCGCCATCGGTGTAGTTTAAAGACGATACGGAAAAGAATCAGCCTGAACACGAATTGTTGAAGCAGAGCCGTTGTTAATGTAGGAATATAAGCTAATGGCCGGAAATAAAGACGTCACGCGTGCAACTGTATACAACCTATCCCGAGCTAGTACAGCACTTGCTTCTGCATCCCAGACCAGCACGACTACGTCAGCACAGGCATCGTAAATTACCGTAGTATATGACGAGCTGCCCAAGCAAACCTGACCAGCACTCTCTTTTATATATAATATCACTATAGTCTATATAATAGCTATAATATATCATACACCCTAACCTATATTATCGCGCGCTCTGAATATGTTTTGTGTTGTGCATTTGAAATAGACCAACGACGTGACAGAGCCAGGAGAAGTCACCAGAACCCCTAATCTGGACAAATCTCGGAAAATATATTATGACCCGGTGTACCCCTGCTCACCCCCCACAAACACGCGAACTGACGATAACAGGCCAGGAGTAATGCAATATGAGAATGTGTAGCGGTGTCAGTAAAGCTTGAAGCACTGACTGGTATATATACCAATATATATAATATATATATAGTATATAGTATATATGATATATATAGTAGTATATTCATCAAATCAGGAGTGATTAATGAGAGGATGATTATTATCACTTCTTATTAGAAGTGTTCACGGTCTCTCCAGGTTACATATGATTGAGGGTGTTATAGTATAATAGATATCTACTTGCCAAGTATCGTAAAGTTAATGCCAGGCTGTAGTGTTAAGACGGGGAAATTTTCCGTTCTCGTAACCTTAGGATATTTCTGTCAACGGTTTACGAGTCGAAGTTAATGTTAAGACTAATGTTGAGATTAATTTTGTTTCTGACAAAGGGCCCCAGGGCCGGTAAAGACTCTGTATACTGACTCTGTAATGAAGCTGTGTCTGAGTAGACGAACCTTCTGAATGCGATATCAGTTGCTTCTCTATTTCGTCGAATAATGGCTCTAGATTTTCCAATGCCTTGGAAACCGTCTCTTCATTGCGAACATCGACGAGCATTTGAGACAACTGCCAACATGAATCATGTGCTAGCTTTAATTATATGTGATGCGACGTACCATTATAGACTAAGAATAACTCTTAATGATAATAACTAATAATAATTTTTAGTCTATGGTAACACCAATCTGTGATGTGAAGGAAAACAAGTGACATGCATCTATATATCTATACGTCGGCCACCAATAGATTGATTTAGTGATGCAGTGATGCAGCGCCCTCGTGCGAATATTATAAAAAAAATAGCAACAAAAAGTGAGTAAAAAAAGTTAGGGTGAAGGAAAACGATTGTTATTTACACATCTATACGTGGTCTCACGTGTCGACCAATCAGTGACAGTAATCGCTAATCACTGGTGTAATGGCGCTAATGTTTCAAGATGCATGTATACATGCGTGTATACCTTCGCTTTTTTCCGCTTGCACTGCTCCTTAAGCTCGGGATGTTCCTTCATAAACGATTCCATGTGTGGCAGCCGGGACAAAAAAATGCCTATCAAAAATAAATGCAGTGGCAAGTGAATAAAAGCTTTTGACTTTATGCTGTAGACATTCCAGTGAAACTTACAAATTATAGGAACTCTTATATAAGAATCTACCACTCTCCGCTGCTATGGAATCAATAGCATGCTTAGTCCACGTGTGATTATAAGCACGTAATAAAGTTGTGGATGATATTGCTATAGATATCAATAATTATATCGATGTAGATGTAACCATCCGTAGTCGCCGTTGTCAATAATTATTATTATTGTTATTATCATTATCGATATGGTCATTGTTACTGTTATTCATGAATTATTATTATTATTATTATTATACTTATTCATTGTTGCTTGTTAATCGTTAGTATTATTATTTATATTAATTATTATCATCACGGCCATCATCGCCATCATCATCATCAGCACCGCAGCACCAGCAGTAGCAAGCAATAACAAGAAAAAGCCAACAGCAGTAACACAGCGCAAACATACAACTAAACAGCAGCATCAGCAGCAGCAATAAACATCAGCAGCAAGCAATAACAACAACAACCACAGCGACAACAAGCAGTAGTAGTACAAGAGCACCAGCAGTAACGCAAAAACAGGCAGAAGCAAATTAAATACTGATCATATTTAGCGTATAGAGAAGGCCAACCCGATTTCCAAGACTATATATCGTCATGTCGCCGACAGCTACCGGAACCTATAGTGAGTACGTTCTTGTGATTCACACAACAATGTCCTACACTCGCACATAGTGGTCGCCCCCAGAGCCCTTGGCTCCTGCTACACGGAGTACGTAAGTATATCAACCTAGTTCTGATTAGAATCGTAGGCAGAGACCCGCTTTGGTTAGATCCACGCCGTCAAGGGAAGGGAGAATGTAGTGAGAAACTGGTCGACATTTACTCCTGAAAAGAGTGCAGGTTGGCGCTAGCAACCATTCTGATACATGAAATGTGATTAACGATTGCCCTGCGGAATTCTTGAAGAAGCATGAACCAATGGAGTCAATGGCGGTCAGCGATGAAGTTGTGTGTGTGATGTGTGTGCTGTGTGTGTGTGTGATGTGTGTGTGCGTGCGTGTGTGTGTGTGGTGTGCTGTGTGTTGTGTGCTGTGTGTGCGACACGCGTGTGTGTGTGTGTGTGTGTGATGTGTGTGTGTGTGTGCAGTGTGTCGTCAGCGCTCGATGCGTGCCGTGCGTGCGTGGTGTGCGTGTGTGCGTGTGGTGTGTTGTGTGTAAGAGAATGTGTGTGTGTGGTGTTGTGTTACAGAACTGATCTAGTAGAATGTGCGCTCACTGCGTGGTGCGTGTGTGTGTGTGAGTGTGTGCCGCTGTGTGCTGCGTGTGTGCCTGTGTGTGTGTGTGTGTTGTGTGTGTGTGTGTGTGTGTGTGGTGTGTGCGCCCGCAGCCGCGTGCGTGCGTGTTGTGTGTGTGTGTGTGTGGGTGTGTGTTGTGTGTGTGTGCGTGCGTGTGTGTGTGTGTGTGCATGTGCGTGTGCGTGTGTACTGTGTGTGTGTGTGTGTGGTGTGTGTGTGCTGTCGTGTGTATGTATGGTGTGTGCGTGCGTGTGGTGTGTGTGTGTGTGTGTTGTGTGTGTGTGCCGTGCGTGGTGTGTGTGTGTGTGTGTGTTGTGTGTGGTGTGTTGTCGTGTGGTGTGTATCAGGTGCGTGTGTGTGTGTTGTGTGTGGTGTGTGTGTGTGTATGTGCGTGTGTGTGTGTGTGCGTGTTGTGTGTGTGTGTGTTGTGTAATAGGTGCAGGTGTGTGTGTGTGTGTCGTCGCGTGCGTGTGGTGTGTGTGTGTGTGTGTGTGTGTGTGTGTGCGTGCGTGCGTTGTGTGTGCGTGTGCGTGTGCGTATGTGTGTATGTGTGTTGTGTGTGTGTGTGTGTGTGTGTGTGTGTGTGTGTGTGTGTGTAGTAGTGTATGATATATTTAGGTGTGTTTATGTATGTGTGTGTGAGTTGTGTGTTGTGTGGCCCTGTGTGTGTCGGTTCGTGTTCTTGTGTTTCGTGTGTGTGTGTGTGTGTGGTTATGAGTATAGTGTAGGATGTGTAGTAAGTACGTGTGCGTGTGTGTTGTGTGTACGCGGTATTTATGAAACGTCCATCTGTGAGTGGAGTGACGTCCGTGATAGGCGCGTATATGCCACGGTAACGAAGTATGGAGCCTTTCATAAGCCGACGCTGACGGGATAACCGATATACAAACCTGATGTGTGAAAAAAATGACTGTGGCGTGTACGAAAGCCATAACGTGAGCAATACTTAATATGTCCTAAGCGACCATAACAAGTCCACACCACCAACACCTCCGGACCCACGGAAGCCGGAACGCTCGCGCCGACAACTGAGTCACGGGGTGAGAAAATCCTATGCACTTGGTTCACACACACACACAGTACAATACACACACACATATACAATTATCATACATATCGACACACACCCACACACAACACTCACTACACCACACATCCCCCCCTAAAGACGGTCGGCGGCCGGTCCGGGGTTGGTCCGGGGTGGTCCGCGGGTGGTCCTTGGATGGTCCGGACGCATTCGCGGGATACTCACGCCCCGGAACCGCTCTTTAAACACTAGTCCTAACAACATTGCACCACGGGGTGATGCGCGGGACGCGCACTCACGCGGAAGACTTTTCACACATCCGGGGATGGTCCTGGACGGTCCGGAAGTTTTCACCGCATCCGGGTTGTCCTGGACGTCCGTGGGCGCTCGTGTAGGTCCGGGACAGTCGCGTGCTAACGACGGTCTAACGCCGCAAACGACCGAATCGACGCGTAAAGTCGAGCACACACACGAACACACACGACACACCACACAGCGTGTCACTGCGGCGCGCGAGGCAGTCCGTGGCCATCACACACACGACTCAGCTGTACATTTTGCCGTCACTGCCACTATGAGATCACCATACATCACATACATACATACACACATCACATACCGACCTCTCAACATACATCAACACTCATACATACAGTCTATCACGAGGCACATCATCACATACACATCAACATACACTACGATACACTACATACATACATAAGGCATCTATCACATACACTCCACGTCACATCTCTCACATACATACATACATGATCAAACAACCGATCGAAGTCCACATCGACATGAAATATCTATCAATACTATCAAATACTATAGGAAATACTATCAATACATGATCAAATACTAGATGTCATTAACGATACCATACCTGCATCACATAGCATAAACATACATACATACATATACACACATACATACTACATACATACATACATACATACATACATACATACATACTACATACTATCATACATAGCATACATACATGAGCATACATACATACATACAGTACGACCAACAACCACAGCGCACACACACACACACACACCACACGCACACCGCACCACACCAGCACACCAAGATCCACTACAACACAACCCAATACAATCACACCCCAGACCAACACCCAACCTACAAACCCCCCACAACCAATACAAAGAACACAACACAAAACCTACAATAACAATCATACATCAATCAGCATGCATCAGCATGCGATGCAATACATACATACATACATAACACACATACATCATACATACATATGTGTGTACTTTATAGCCAAAATGCTTGCTGTCGCGGGGCTTTCCGGGGCGGTGGTCGTAGTAGGTCCGGGCAGTCCGTACGTGTCATCCGGGGAGGTCCGTGGCGCGTCGCGGGGCGGTCCGGGCGTCCGTGGTGACTCCCTGCTGGGTCGCGGCTTTTCCATCGGCACAATCCTGGATGCGTCGTGGCGCTTGCCAGTGCTGGTCCGGGGCGGTCCGTAGTGGTTCAGCGTGTTCATACCGTGGGTGGCTCTCCGTGCTGGTCCGGCACGATCCGGCCCGGATGACTGCTTTTTTTCGCGCGTCTGCGTAATTTTAACCTGCTATCCAAGTCCCGGATTCGCCACGGATTATAAATTTTAACGGTCCGGGAGATCCTGCCCTATCCGGGGTAAATCCGTGACCAGTCCGGCCCAGGTGACTTTAGCTTAGCCAAGCAGTCTTCGCGGTTTTGCGGCAATCTCAATTGGGTGTTGCTGCACATTCCAAAAATGATGAGGCGCTGTTTGAAAGATTTCACCGCGCCATCTTAATATTGCACAGACTCAGTTCTACGGCAAACATGTATACTATGGATTGGAATATAAAATTCGGCAATCATTGGCAGACAAATGTCATCTTTATTACTATTCTAAATTGCTTTATTTTTGTGATGACCACATGTGTCAGAGCTGTTGTTTGTATAATGAACGCAACAGAAAACATTTAATATCAAACACAGTTATATTGTATAGACGTATTATTTTATAAAATGCAAACTGAATGGTATCGTGGCTAATTGATACAGCCGTGTGTATCACAACCACCTATTACGGTATATTTCCGGTGATAAAGTTCTAAGCACATGTTTACACAATCGGCTATGTATTATTATATAATTATGTATAGAGAGTATTTCGTGTAAAAATAACGTTAATTGATAAAATCTGCTCTGTTCGATAATAAATATACAATTGCTTTTGTGGAAATTTTAATAGATCACCGTTGTAAATGAACGTGTAATAATCGAAAGCAATGTGTAGGGGGCGCCTTGTCTCGAATTTATAGTTTTAAATGTTGTTGGTGTTTCGTGAATAATGTAATGGGGCTATAATTGCCGAGCAACAAGATGTTGGTTCTAACTTATGAGGACCGATGATTCGCTGCCAGCATGGTGTTTTATTCGTTTAGATTGTATCGTAGCGCGTCGCGTGTGATATATCACACGGCCAAGGGAAATGTGGAAGCCCTTTATGTGCGAAATAGCTTCTCCCAAGCCCTGTCCGTGGCGGTTGTAATCTGACTGAGGGTGTGGCTGTCATTACAAAACCTTTTCTCGCGAACCTTTTTCTGGAAATACATGGCGAATTCTATCTAAAGGTGGGCGC